CCGAAATGCCAGAATTTATTCACCAAAGGAGCATGGGTAACATCCAGGGATGAGAATTTAAACATCTCTTGGTTACTATTCAGAACAAGGGAAAAGAATAGCCCATAATGTCACACATACTGTGCAGTATTATATTTGTTTTCCCAAAATTGTCTTCAGACCATGCAAATAAGGGCACAAGTAAAGGTACAGAGTCGCAGCCAGGCTGCCTGGATTCAAAATCTGACCAGGTGTGTGATCTTAAGCAGGCAATGTAATGTCTCTCTGCCTCCACTTCTTCTTTATAAAATGGGGAATTAATAGCACCTCCCTCAAAGACAGATATGAATATTAGAAGAGCTACTGCATGATAAGTGCCTAGGACTTGTGCCACACAAATGATAAGAATTACATAAATATTAAGTATTGCTCTTCTCAACATTGGTGACTCTCCACTTAAGATGGAGGAATTTATATTATCCCCACTTTACAGATAAGAAAAAGAGATAAACAGAAGATAAATGAGTGCCCAAAAGCACATGCTAGCAAGCTGTAAAGAATCACGGAGTCTTAGAATGCTGGCGTCAGGGGGCAGTGAGGTGGAGTGCAGGTAGCCCCAAGCTACAGAACACTGAAGTCTAAAGGCTTCCGCAATGGTGTAAAGGGGCTTCGGGAGGTGTCCCTGAAAGAACCCACAATGTGGAACTAGAAGATCTAGACTCAACCCCAGTTATGCCCTGAGCCATCCACGTGATCCGAACAAGCTATTTCATCATCTGAGCCTGTGTTCTTCCAGGAAAACGTGGATAATGTGTCCCACCTTGTCTATCTCATGGGCTGCACAAGAGAATCAAATGAGATTCCAGATGTGGAGGTGCTTCTCAGGTTGTAGTGTGATAAGACGTGAATAAATGTCTTCCAGGCCATGGGATTGGGCGTGTCCAGATCAAATCTCCACCATCAGTGATCAATTCTATTCAATGTTAGACTGGACATCAAGGGCGGAAAACATATAATTTGTTGAAATTCTCTTTGTTGGAAAACTTTTGCTCTGTGAAGTGAGTTCATTAAATGTCTAGTTATCAAGCACCTACTATGTGTTTTGTTCTGGCTATTGAGGATCTATTGGTGAACAAAATAAAGAGGATCCCTGATCTAGTGGAGTTTGAAATATTGGAGGGGAGAATCAAACAACAAACAGGTCAATAAATACGTGAATACGATGATTTCAGATAATAAATGCAATAAAGAAAACAAAAATTGGGTTTTCTGATGAAGAATTATGAGAGGGGGTGGTTTTAGATGCTTTGAGAAAAACTCTCTAAGGTAACGACATTTAAGAATATGATTAGCAAGAAAGAGGCAAATATGTAAAGATCAGAGGGAAGGTCATTTTAGACAAAGAGGAAATGCAATGACCCAAAGGCATGTGTGAGTGTGTGAAATCAAGTTGCAGAAGGAGCCCACCAGCTGCTGTTGGGAGTAAGCAAGAGGGACAGGATGAAGTCCAGGAGGTGATGTGATGGGTACCAGGTCTTACAGGACCTTGAAGGTTCAAAAGGAGGTTGGATTTTATTCAAGGTGAGCTGAGAAACATCAATGGCTTTCAAGTGAGGGAAATGACATAATCCATGTTATAGACTAAAAGGATCATCCTGGAAATGGATTGTAGAGAGGCAAGAGTGAACGTAGAGAGAAAAGTTGGAAGGCTACTTCAGTAGTGAAAAATGTGAGCAGTGCAGAGCATCTTTTTTCAAACTCACACGGCCTTGGGGGTGCCAGTTTGAAGAGGTAAATTCTTTGTCTCCGGCAGGGAAGGGAGCAGTTTCCTGGCTGTCTCTGGCATCACGTAGAGAAGACGTTGTGTTTGCTTGACCTTGACCAATTTAGTGGTTCCAAGATTCTGTATCACCTCATCCAGGCTGGACTGTGAACCTAGAGAGGAACAGAGGCAGGAGAGAAGTAATGGCCCATTTAGAAGCTACAATCAGTTTCCCAATGGACATCTGCAGGATTTAAAGTCAGGCAGTGCTGCTTCCGGTGTTACTAAAAACCATGTGACCATGGCCATGTCACTCCCTGAGCATGTTTTCTCTTACTCAAAACAGAGATAATACAAGAAATCCCGACTACACCACTGTGAAATCAAAGGAGCAGTGGTATTTAAAAAATAGCAGCCAACTTTGCATGTGCTCATATTACATGCCCAGGTATTGGTCTAACACCACATTTAATTCTTACATTGACTCCATGTTATAAGTACTTCCATTATCCTCATTTTTTATATATGAGGAAACTGAATAATAGATAAGTTACATCACTTGCTCAAGATCACAAAGCAAGTAACAGGCAGAGAAAGGTTGTCACCTGAGGGAGTCTGACTCTGGAGGGCGTGCTCACAACCATGGTAGTTGTTTTCATGACCTGAGAGGTGCTCTATGGTACAAGGAGCTGTCACTCTTATTGTAGGCATGGAAGGCCTGAGGGGGAGCTCTGCTCTCACACCTAATCACTTTATCTTAAGGAATCCTTAATATGTCTGCAAAATATATCACGAATCCTCAGCTAACAGTTTCTTATATCAACCCCATAGTTTGCAACGTTTGAATTCCACTCCGCTGAAGACGTGCTGTCAACTGATACAAGGAATGAAGAAGGAATCAAGCTGAGTGTCTGGGGTTTGGTAAAAGGAAGTAAAGATTATAGGGGAATGCTCTTGGGATGAATAGTGACCCTACTGGTATGGACATGAGCAGTCCCAGCAACCAGCACACATCCCAGATCTCTTACTTACTTTGGATCTGCAAATGTTGTTTCCAATTGATGATATCTGATGCGGCAAGGACTTCTTGACAGTTCTTGGGATCCTTAGAATAGATTTGGTAGGAGTTGGTATAGTGATCAAAGTCGTCTGTCATCTCCTGTTTGGTTGGGTAACATGGAATAAATCAAATTGATTATATCCAGTGGTTGGAATACTTGCGTTTAGTATTTCATTACACTGTGCTTAAATATTTACAAACTTAAATATTTATATTTTTCTCAACATTCTATCATTATTCCTGAATCATCTACATCATGAGACCAAGTCAGGGATTTAATCAATTATTTAATTTGTGATTAAGAAAAACTTGCTTAGGGCCAGCCTGGTTGTGTCTTGCTTAAGTTCGTGCACTCCACTTCAGCAGCCTGGGGTTCACGGGTTCAGATCCTGGGTGTGGACTTCCGCACCGCTTATCAAGCCATGTGGTGGCAGGCATCCAACATGTAAAGTAGAGGAAGATAGGCATGGGTGTTCGCCCAGGGCCAATCTCCCTCAGCAAAAAGAGGAGAATTGGCAATGGAGGTTAGCTCAGGGCTAATCTTCCTCACCCACAAAAATAAACAAATAAATAAAAACTTGCTGAAGTAGATATTTGTATGTCACATTATGATTTCAAATCAACCAAAGGTGCACCAATTATAGAAGAAAGTGTGCTTCTATAATTCTGTAATTCTCAGGAGAAAGAAAGAAAGAATTATTTTCAAAGGCAAGCTTCCACTGCAATAGTAAATCTTATTTTATTTCAAAGAGTCTCAGAACAAATGGATTATGAACAAGACAATTTTTAAATTGATAATTCTAACCTTGTATTAGAATTTTCACTTACACATGATAAAGCTATGCAAAACAAAGACACATGGTGTCTTTAAAACGTAAACCACAATGAACTGTTGTTTAAAAAGAATTCACATGCCCAGCAACATTGAAACACAAAATTTATCCAAAGAGATCTTCTCAAAGTTATCAAATAAGAGATGGGATTATTTGAAGATGAAGGAAGGAGCCAGAGAACAACTCAAGGGTAAAAGAGCTGGGGTGTTGCATGGAAATGCATTCATCACGTAGCATTAATGCCACTGATGATCTGTGCTTTTAAAATCACATAAAGAAAGCAAATATTATTCCATTTTTAGATTTCAATAATTAATTTAATTAGCTTAATTTTTGAATTGTGTTTAGGTTGATTTTTTTTTTTTTTCGTGAGTAGGACTAGCCCTGAGCTAACATCCGATGCCAATCCTCTCCTTTTTTTTTTCTTGAGGAAGAGTGGCCCTGGGTAACATCCATGCCCATCTTCCTCTACTTTATGTGGGTCGCTGCCACGGCACGGCATATCAAGCGGTGTGTTGGTGCGCACTTGGGATCTGAACCTGTGAACCCCGGGCTGCCGAAGCAGAGCACGAGCACTTAACCACTTGCGCCACCAGGCCGGCCCCTAGGTTGATGTTTTTTAAAAATACTATACATTTAAATTTTATTTGTAAATAATTTATATTAAAATGATAGTATCTGGTTACATATTTTTGCATGCTGGAATTTTTATTTGATATTTTTCAATATGCTTCAAACGTATTTGCACTTGAAATGTATTATTCTCTTAGTTTAAGTGATTTTAAAAGTCTAGTACTGAAAATATATTCCCAAATACAGTCATTGTAATTTGTTCTTTGTATTTTCCTAACATTCTTCATATTTACCTTCACATATTTTTAGCTGTTGTTTTCTTTGCTTAGAATGCATCTTCTGTTCTTCTCAGCCTGTCAAAGCCTATTAATCTTCAAAACCAAGTTTTGGGGAAATGTCGACCAGGAAGGCTGTCTACTTCTTTCCCTGCATCCCCTGACATTTATAGATTTAATTATCTCTTAGCCAGTGCTACTTCTGTATCTTGTATGTTCTTGTACATTTTTGTGCATTTTCACACTGTGTTGTGATTTATTTACTTTCCTCCAGGCTGTGAGCTTCTTGAGGACAAGGACTTGTTCACCATCACTGTGATTCATTTCTTTATCCTCACGGCCCACCACATTGCCAGTTGTACGGTAGGCATATAGCGAATAAGAACAGACAAGCATATTCATTCCACATCTGGCACCTTACCTGCTCCTGAGGGCGGATAACCACTGTCCTAAAATCAGGCCACTTGTCCACCAGGGCCTTGAGCTTGAACGGGTTTCCCTGATTCATGTGGAAGACGGTCCCATAAACCTGCAGCATCCCGAGAAAGCGAGAGGGTCGGCTTATTAGGAAGGGATGGCAAAGTGTATTGTTTGAACAGAACAAGGATTATTTCTATGAAATCAGGGAAAGTAACTGATAGTACACCTAGTTCAAACAATCTTTAGGTTCTACTTTATTACTCCAAATGGAAATACATTTTCGGGTCAAACCATGAGAATATCATATGAATATGGATAAATATCCAGATAAATAAAATGAATAAATTAAAAATCATGCACTATTACATTGTAGAATTTAGTGTTTTACCTTTCCTTTTTACTTTATTTATCTACATATACACACACAATTTTTAAACAATGAAATTACCTAATAAATATTAAGTTAACATCTATCCCCTCCCACATACAGACATACACACACTATACTATGGGCATATTTTCATGTCAATAAATCTACATAATCGTTTTTAATGACTGCATACTATTCATTACATCGAAAGATTCTATTCATTTTTCCTATCTCCTATTGCTGGTCATTTCAGTTTTTTCTAATTTTTTAGTTTAAAGGTTTATTCTTCAAGGAACATTTATTTTGCATAAATCTTTGCAAATATGCCTATTATTACTAATTTTATAAGGGGAATTTCTGCGTCAAAGATCAACTCTTTTAAAGATTTCTTTTTTCTTACACATATCTCCAAATTACTTTCCAGAAAGGTTAAATGAGCTCTTGACTATTTAATAAGTAGAGACAGAGCATAGTTTGGTGACCAAAGTCCGAGATACAGTGTAGTTTGGTGACCAAAGTCCAAGAACCTCACACATTGAGCAATCTGTTTAGCCTTTTCCACAAACATCTGTTCAAACATCGGCGTCCTCAAAAAGAACATTGAAGAGGCTGAGAAAGAGAGATCTTCCAAATTGGAAGGGGCCCTGTGGTTGTGGGGAGAGGAAAAACAGCAGTCCATATCACGGTGGACCTTGAGACCTAAGTGCAGTTGGAAACATGATGCCTCAGCAGATGTTATGGAAAGACGCCAAAGACCAAGGACCAATGGAATGATGAACATTTCAATGACCAAAGACCACAACTCACCCTGTGCTTCCCTACATTTGCCCTGAAATGTTTTGGTCAGGCTTATGGAGAAAGGAGGCAAACTGATTTTACTGAGTTTTTAAGAAATTATTAAATTTCCTGCCATCAGCAGGGGCTCAATATAAAAAATAAATGCAGTTTTAGGAAAAATAAAGAACTTACTTTTTTAAACATTGGAGTTTGGAACCAGTGACATTCATATGCACTAGATTAAAAATAAGTGAAGTCACTCTTTTTATATGCACATGGCATCATCACTAAGTCAGAACATAGTGACCCAGGCAGCCACTACAAATTGAATGAATTAGAGTTGACATGTGAGATGAACTTATTCAGTGTCTACTATTTGGAGAGTGAGATGGGTAGTCCGTCAGGCCATGATACACAAATCTTTCTGTCACTTGAGACTCAGTGAGTATTGAATGGGAATGAGTTTTAGGTTATACCTTTGTAACAAGAACCATTCATACAAATATTCTAGATTTCTGTTTACGCAAAAAACTGTGTCATCAAAGAGTCAACTGAGGGGAAAGGAGAACTCACTAAAGTTGAGGATCTACTATTGAGGGGTACTTTGCCACACGATAGAGTTAGGCTAACCGTAGTGCCAAGAGTTTTCTCAAAAAAGTTGGAATCCACTTAACATACGAAGTGAAGAACAATTAAAACCCAAGAGATCTACCCTACAGAACATGCAAGAAAAAAATTTTAATCTGGAAATCTTTAAAGCAGCCACTCAAGATAAAAATATGTCAGTCCACAGAGCATCTAACTGATTTACTACCTTGCCCTCCTAAAAAGATGAAAGGTCATTATCTGTAGGATGAGTTACTTCATTGCATATGATTTCTAGTTGAAGGCAGTTAAATGTTAATACAGACAAATGTTAGGTGATGCCTACCAAAAAAGATGATTTTAGTTTTAGCATGATTGATCTGGAGTCACTCTTTCCAGTAGTAATTAAACAAGTATGCACTGAATCTAAACCTAGTAAAGAAAATTCTGATTATTTCCTTTTTCCCAAATGCACACTCACCCTGGTTAAAGGCAGTAGGTCCCTTTGGAGAAGACTGGGAGAAAGATTGACAGGATACATTTTTGGCAGCTTGGGTGGTCATTGCTCAAGTGCACCATCCTTCCCTTCATTCAAGGAGTTCTGGGTCTGTAAACCGGCTCAAGTCTGGGAATTAATTGAGAGGATGTGACTCTCTGTTTTTATGATTCAAGTTAGACTTTTTCTTTTTGGTCAGGAAGATTAGCCTGGAGCTAACCTCTGTTGCCAGTCCTCCTCTTTTTGCTGAGGAAGATTGGCCTGAGCTAACATCTGTGCCCATCTTCCTCTGTTTTATGTGGACGCCTGCCACAGCATGGCTTGATAAGTGGTGCGTAGATCTGCACCCAGGATCCTAACTGGCAAACCCCGGGCCACTGAAGCAGAGTGTGTGAACTTAACCACTATGCCATCGGGCCAGCCCCTCAACTTAGACTTTTGAGTTTATGAAAATTACACAGTGTAGTTCCTGATATTTAGTAAGTGTTCAAGAAGGGTTGGCTCTTAATTTTGTCATTATCATTTTATTTAATCCTCCCAACAACACTGCGAGGTAATGATAACCCTGTTAAAGGTTGAGCAATGTCTACCAAAAGCATGTACTGTCTGGTTTCACTCATTTTACATGCAAGAACACTGAGACTCAGAGATGTTTAACTTTTGCAACATTACGCAGAAAACAGTGAATTTGTGGAGTCAAAACAGTTTGACTCCAGACCCTGTCTCCCTCGACAGGTGCCCCACCCTACCTCAGTCAGCAGGATCAGTGACTCGGAGTTAGACTAAGTGCCCGTGTCTTAGCTACAAATGATCCCTGTACAAGGTGGCAGAGCACCAGGAAAAGGAAGAAAAGGTAGAATATTATGTCATTCCTTCCAGCTTCCGCATCAGCTTGATCAGTGTAATAACTATTAAAGCACACCTCATACTCATGCTTGCCTAAGAAGCCCAGATGTGTGATTCATCAACAAAAGAAATGGCATTTATTTTAAAGGCAAGCCTTATAAACTAACAAGGTTTGTACCTAACGGTTTTTTTCTTGTTGTTGTCTTTTTTTTTTTCTCTCTCTTTTGGTGCTATTGTAAATGATACTGATTTCTAATTTTGAATTGCAATTGTTCATTGCTGGTATATAGAAATACAATCAATTTTTCTATTTTTTATATTGGCTTTGAATCCTATGACTTGGCTAAACTTAGTTATTATATCTAAGACCTTTTCTTTCCCATAGATTCCTTAGGAAGTTTTACATTAGACAATCATGCCATCTGTGAACAGACACTACTTTACTAATCTCTTTCCAATATGTATTCCTTTTATTTCTTTTTCTTGCCTTGTGGTACTGGCTAGGATATCCCATACCACATTGAACAGGAGTGGTGGGAATGAATATCCTTGCCTTGTTACCAATCTTAGGGGTACTATTCAGTCTTTCACTAGTTAGTATGATGTTAGGTGTAGATTTTTCCTATATGCTTTTTATCGAGTTGAAGATATCCCCTTCTATTCCTAGTTTGCTGAGAGTGTTATTTTTATCAGAAATATTACACTTGGTGAAGTATTTTTTTCTGCATCTGTTAAAGGAGGATCATACGGCTTTTCTTCTTTAGTCTGTTGATATGGTGAATTACATTGATTGATTTTTGAATATTGAACCTGCCTTGCATTCTCAAGATAAATTCCTCTTCGTTATGATGTATTATCCTTCTGATATATTGATCAACTTGACATGACGATATTTTGTTGAGGGTTTTTGCATCTATGTTCATGAGGGATATTGTTCTGTAGTCTTCTTTTCTTATAACATCCATTTCTGGGCTTGGTATCAGGGTAATTCTGGACTCTATTCTGCAAGAGTTTGTGTAGAATTGGTATTATTTCTTCTTTACGTGTGTAGTAGCAATTGCCACTGAAACCGTCTAGGCACGGAGTTTTCTTTGTTGGAACGTTTTAAATTATAAAATCAATTTCTCCAGTAGATTTAGGTTGTATATTTCTTCTTCAGTGACCTTTGGTAATTTGTGCTTTTCACAGAACATAAATTTTGAAATTTACAGGCACAGTGTTGATAATAGTACGTCCGTATTATCCTTATAATGTCTATTGGGTTTGTAGTAATGTCCTATATTTCATTCCTGATAGTGGTAATTTGTGTCTTTTCTCTTTATTTCTTGATCAGTTTGGTTAGAAGTTTATCAACGTTATTGATCTTTTCAAAGAACCAGATATTAGATACATTGATTTTCTTAATTCTTTTTCTCCTCTCCAATTTATTGGTTTCTGCGCTTATTGTTTATAATTTCCTTAATTCTTTTTGCTTTTGGGTTAATTTACTCTTCTTTTTCTACTTTCTAAGGTGGAAACTTAAAGCATTGATTTAAAACCATTATTCTTTTTTAGTATAAACACTTCATGGTATATATTTGCCACTTATCACTGCTTTAGTTGCATCCCAAAACTTTGGATATGTTGTACTTTTATTTTCAGTCAAAAATATTTTCTCATTTTCCTTGTGATTTTCAAGCATCATTTATTTGGAAGTGTTTGTATAATTTCTAAAAATTTAGTATTTTCCCGATATCTTTCAGTTTTTTAATTTTAACTTTAATTCCATATTGTTCAAGGATGTATTTGGTGTGATTTCAGTTCTCTTAAAATTCATAAAAATAGGGTATATCTTGGCAATGTTCCATGTGCACCTGAAAAATATATATTCTGCTGTTGTTGAGGGAAGTATTCTATAAATGTCAATTAGTTCAAGTTGGTTCTTAGTATTGTTCAGCTCTTCTATATAGTAAGCTTTCTGCCTATTCTATAAATTACTGAGAGAGGACTGTTGAAGTCTTTATACCTGTGGGTTTATCTATTTCTTCTTTCAGTTCTATCAGTTTTTATCTCATGTACTTTGAGCCTCTGTTGTTAGGTGTATACATTTCAGCATTTCTCATGTCTTCCTGGTGAATTGGTGCCTTTATTATAATGCAATGGTGCTCTTTATTTCTAATAATATTTTAGTCCCTTTGTAACATATATCATTGCAAAAAAAAATCTCTATGGTACCAGATCATTAATCCATTTCTTAAACATAATTTCTGTCTCACCCCAAATTAAACACAATTCTTTGCGGTTTGACGAAATAGGAGTTGACCTATTACTAATTTCAAAGAAGAATCTTAATAGTTAACCTTTCATCAGGTGCTTGATTGTTTAGGAAGAATAAATTAAACATTAACATGTTAGTTTCAGTGAACTTGGCAATTCTGGAAAAACATCCAGTGTTGCAGAACATAAATCTTGGAAGGGCACAAGGGAATGTTTTCGCGTCCTCACACAGTGAAGATCATAGTGGACTCAAATAATAGTCTTACCACTCACTATTGGTGTGATCTTGGTCAAGTCATATAACTGAGCCTCCATTTCCTTTGTGGTTCTATGGATAAAATATACCTGCCTTGCAGCAAGGTGATGTGAACTAAATGAGATGCAAGATGAGTGTCGGGCATAGACTAGGTGATGCGTGAGTGCTCGTTCTCTTTCCCACCCCTGTCATAGGCAGTTGCTTGTCTTTTTTTCCCTAAGGATGTTCCACTCTCACCTTTAAGGACTCAGGGAGGCTCTTCCTCAAGGATTTCTCTAGCATCTGCAGCATTTGTGGGCCTTGTAAGTGAAACATCTTGGCAGGTATATTAACCTAAGGAGAGGATCAAGAAACATCAAGGAATGAGAAGTGCTGCAAGACATACAACAGACACAATAGGCGGTTCTAGCTAATGGCCTGGCCTTCATACCTGCTGTTTCATTGGAGCCCCATTTACTAAACTTCTCACTAACTCCAAGGAGGAATAAGACTGGCAGAAAGCACAAGTGCCTCTTTCTGAAATTAATTTTAATACTTTTTAAACTTTAAAAAATATTTCTTAAGTTTTCATACCACTCAGAATTCCAATAATTAAGGATGCACTGATATTAACATATATATATATTATCTAAACATACATGATTGCCCTTTGAGATTAAATTTCCATCCATGATAAGCCTGACTGCCACTTAGAAACTGTATGACGTTGAGCAAGTTACTTAACTCCTCCGTGCCTTGGTTTCTCATCTATAAATGGCAATGACTATAGTACCTATCTCATAGAGTAGTTTTGACACTTAAATCAATACATAAAAGGTGCTTGGAACAGTGTCTGGGACATAGTAAGTGCTCAATTAATGATTATGATTATTATTATCATTTGCAGAAGCAACAGTAAACCCACACTGTCATCCAAAAAAATCCATTGGGTGACTTTTCTTCTGTGCAACAAATTGTTGTAAGGATTAAATGGGGTAATCCACATAATCTGGCAAGTGGTAGA